GAGGCTGTGGAGGCCCTGTACCTGGCCCCCGTTTCCCGACACTCGCTGTGTTCTTCCATGCGGCTCTGCGCTCTGCGCTGTTGATTACTGAGGTGGCTTGCCCCTTGGGGAGCGTGCAGTTGGTGGGGGTGGCGTTCCTGGGGACCCGGTGCTGCTGAGAACTGGAGGCAGTGCTTTGGGCCCTGATGTCAACTCCTGCTTTCCTGTTTCCTCCCCTTACCGAGAGGTGGCCTTTCCCCTTCCCTGCCTTCTCCTTGGAGTGGCCAGAGAAACACTCCAGCTGGCCCTTGCTCTCCTCTTTTCCCCAAGTTCTTCCACTAAGTGGGAAGATTCTTGCCCTACTTCTTCCAGTTTTTTCTTTTCTCATCACTGTGGGGATAATTGTCTTCTTTCCTGTCCCCATGTGCTCTCAGGGAGGATTCAGGTCTCTGCAGGTAATTCTCCTTTCCTAATTCTGGACCTTCTCCTGGCCTCGCCCTCCCCTCCCCTCAGTCAGGGGCTCGATCCAGGGACTGGGGCTCTCCATGGTGGGGACTGGGTTGTTGTCCAGGTCGTCAGTCTGAGGCTGACCGATGCATGTCAGTGGCTGAGTTTTGTGGCGTGCGTGCATATCTGTCTGGTGACTGGGAGACTTGCATGTTAGGGGTTAGCTCTTCAGAACCTTAGGCTGGAGAGGTGCATGCTGGGGAGTGTTTGCCTGAAAGGGCCTTCCTTCAGTGTGATGCATCTGGGTGTCAGGGAGTTTCTGCAGAGGGCTAGTCTGGTGGAGGTTATGTGAGTGTGCGTGACAGCAAGAGAGTAAACGTACAGAACACAAAGCGTATATGTGAATACGGAGGGCACGTGTGAGTACAAGAGGCCGCTTAACCATCAGCTGGTCAAGTGGGTCTTGGAAAGAGCGATTCCTGTGCTCTAGTACGCCCAGTACTTCTCTCCAGACTGTAGAGACATTGTGGAATGGCCGTTCTGCAGCCCACTTCCTCCCCTTCCTGATGCCAACTGCCTGCCTCCCTCTTCACAGCACTTCTACCCCAGCCGGGCCCAGCCCCCGAGCAGTGCAGCCTCCCGAGTGCCGAGTGCAGCCCCCGCCCGCCCTGGCCCAGCTGCCCATGTCTACCCTGCTGGATCCCAAGTAATGATGATCCCTTCCCAGATCTACCAGGCCTCCCAGGGGGCCTACTATGTCCCTGGACAGGTGAGGCTGGAGGCTTGGGAGCTGGAAGCCACTGGGCCTTGTCCCCCTAGTCCTCGCCCCCATCCCCACCCTGACTCTCGGGTCTCATCTCTTCTCCAGAGGTGGGACTTCCTCTGGTCATTGGCCAGAGTTGGCTTGTCCTGTCCTGCCCTGCATTCTTTTTGTAGTCTGGTGTGGTGCCTGTAGCTCCCTCAACCCCTGTTCTCCCCGCCCCTCCCTGTTCTTCCCACCAGGGGCGTTCCACATATGTTGTCCCTACGCAGCAGTACCCTGTGCAGCCAGGAGCCCCCGGCTTCTATACGGGTGCGAGCCCTACAGAGTTTGGGACCTACGGTAAGCAGGGGAGGGAGTAAGGTGAGCGTGCGTCCCAGGGAGCGCCTCAACTGATCGGATTTCTAAACAGAAGGCCCTCCCCAGGCTCTGGGTGTACAAATGACAGGGTGAATAGGTGGCAGGGATTGTTGGTTGGGGGGGAGGATGTGACCCTATTGCCGAGCAAGTCGGTGTCTTCCCCAGGTCAGGGAATACAGGATCAGGCGCCAGCTGGAGGGCCTGCGGCACTCCCTGCGATGCTCCTTCCGTGGTTTGGGGGAGCCCTATACACGGATTTGGGGTTTTTTCGTATCTATTTTTCATTTATATTCTAGGAAAGGATTAGTCTGTCCTTTATGGCAGTGGTTTCCAAAATTTCTTGATCACCTGTCAGGAAAAATTTTGAGTATGTACCTCTAATCCATGTATGTTTTTGTTTGTTTATATACGCGTTAACTTGAACAAGGAACACACTTGTGTCGTTTGTGGAAACAAAAAGTGGAAATTATAGAGGAGACTAAAGAAACGTACCCCACTTTGGAGACCATTGCTTTAAGGAGTGGATTTTTAGTCATCTGGGCCCGCTTGAGAATGTTACTTTTTGTCTCCTTGCCTCTCAGCTAAGGGCTAGAGATTAGAGCTGGATTCAGCTTGGGTGGAACAGGGCTGGCAAATCGGTTTTCCTCACTGGTCGCCAAGGACCTGATTCTGTTTCAGGCTAAGTAGCTGCTGCTCCCTCAGAGTGTGTGGCTACGCATGGGGGGGGGGGGGCAGGCACACAGTGCCTTCCCCACTAGAAGAGGAACAGATCTGAGCCCTCCTGGTAATTGGTGTGTGGTGGGGAAGAGCTGCCTGCCTACAAGGCCTGTGTGTCAGTGTCAGGAATGCTTGTAAACGCAGCTCAGACTGGTTCCCCTGCTTTGATCGACACCTAATTCCCTGGGGGAGGAGGGCGGGGCAGGGCAAGGGGCCGCCTGTGCGTGAGGGAGAGGTTCTGGGATGCGAGGTGTTCAAGCAGGCATTTGTATGTGGTCGGGCCCTGACGCTGCCACCATCCTTCCCGTCCGTCTCCCCTTTCCCCCCAAGCTGGCGCCTACTACCCGGCCCAAGGCGTGCAGCAGTTTCCTGCCGGCGTGGCCCCCGCCCCGGTTTTGATGAACCAGCCACCCCAGATTGCTCCCAAGAGGGAACGTAAGACGGTGAGTAGCAGCAGGGGCTCCGGGACGGTCTGGAGGCGCCGGGGCATCGCTGGTCAGGAGCAGGACCCTGAAGGAGAATCTCAGCTGACGGTGGGCAGAGTGGGTGTCCGCGGAAGGCTGGGCTCTCTGTAGGGTACTCAGATTTCAGTGCAGGGAAGCTCATGGGAAAATGAGCCACCAGTGGGGAGACTCCTGAGACCTGGGCTCTGGGGAGCCCTGAGGACTGTGCTGGGCCTGGGGTTGCTGGGGGCTCGACCGTGGAAAAGGTCTGTTTTCTGTGCCCCCTCCCCCCACCGTCCCCCCTCAGCCCTGGAAGTTCTCGAGGCCGCCGCCTCTGCTTAGTTCTCCAGCCCTGGGCGTGGTGCCCAGAATAGGGTGCCAGGGCTGGGGAAGCCGCTGAGTCACCCTGGCTCCACCCACTGGATCTGGGCCCTGCCCCCAGAGAGCAGGCCGACCAGCCACCAGTGAGCCGGCTGGGGGTCCTGCACCCTGTCGAGGGCAGTCACTGACTTGGGGACTGCTGGTGGGACAGGGGTGAGGAGGGAGGGGCATTGTGATGTACCTGGTGGCTCTGTGAGGTCAGGGTCTCCTCGGGTGGGGACCAGGGCAGGGACTATAGGAGCAGCTGGATGGCTTGACAGTGGAACTCAGGGGCTTTCTGGCACCTGCCCGCCTGCTTCCCAGTAGGGGGTGGGGGGGTGGCTCGGAGTCTTAGGAGTGGGGGCAAGGTGGAGAAGTGGGTTCCCCACTCATGTCGTAGCTGTCTTTCCCCAGATCCGAATTCGAGATCCAAATCAAGGAGGGAAGGATATCACGGAGGAGATCATGTCTGGGGCCCGCACTGCCTCCACACCCACCCCTCCCCAGGTACTGTCTGCTCTTGGAGAGGTGGCTCTGGCCGGGGTGGCTCTTCTGCCCCTTGAGCTTTCCCTTCCCCTGAGGGCCTTATTTCCCTGCTTTCTTGGGTTTCTAGCAGAGCTAAAGTAGAAATGGTTCTAGGAAAGAAGGGGGTTGGGATTCTTCAGGGCGGCTGTGGTAACCCTTTGTGTCCTGCAGGCCGGAGGCGGTCTGGAGCCTCAGGCTAACGGGGAGACGCACCAGGCTGCTGTTGTTCTCCGGACAGGTGAGCGAGCAGGTGGGACAGAGCTTTTATGGGGCGAGGGGACGTGACGATTTAGAATGCTGAGGAGGGGGAGCGACTGGAATAGAGAAGAATGACATACGTTCCAGGTAGTAGGATTTTGAGGGTCGATTCAGTTTGGGATGAGAAGGGAAAATAGCTTAGGTGGGAGGAGATTGAGGGGGAGGCGTTAAGTTGGGGTGTCTTGGCTGGGGGGAGGAGGGGGGAGCAGCAGCAGTGAAGGGCTTGCTTTTTATGACTCATTTTTCCTTCCTGCTCTGCAGATGATCGGCCGCAGGGAGCCATCATTGGGGGTCGGCCAGGGCCGCCTGGCCCAGAGCACAGCCCTTCGGAATCCCAGCCTTCGTCACCTTCTCCAACACCGTCACCACCTCCAGTCTTGGGACCGGGGTCTGAGCCTAATCTGGAAGTCCTCTCAATTCCTGGGGACACTGTGACAACGGGGACGATCCAGATGTCGGTAGATGAATTGACCCCCATGCCCCGTGAAGCTGGGGAGCCCTATCGCCTCTCAGCAGAACCCACCGGCCTCTCTGAACCCATCCTGGAGGTAGAAGTGACGCTTAGCAAGCCAGTTCCGGATCCGGAGCCCTCTTCTAGTCCTCTCTCGCCTCCCTCCCCACTCACGTCTCACGAGGTGGAAGTTCCTCACGAGCCCAACGGCGTGGTTCCACCTGAGGGTCTGGAACCAGAGGTGGAGCCGAGCCCAGAGCTCGCCGCTCTGCCTCCTCCGGCCTGCCCCCCTGAGCCCCCCGTGCCCGTTGCTCCAACTGTCCAATCCGAGGAACTGCTCAATGGAGCCCCCTCACCCCCACCTGTGGACTTGAGCCCAGTCAGTGAGCCGGAGGAGCAGGCTGAGGAGGCCACGGCATCAGTGGCTCTCCCCACCGTCCTCGCTGCCGCTCCTGCCGTGGCACCTCCAGCCCCTTCCCCTGCTCAGGCGGAGGAAATGGAGGAAGAGGAACAAGAGGAGGAAGAAGCAGCTGAGGGTGAGAAGGGAGGAGAGGAACCGCTCCCCCAAGAGAACACCCCTGCCCCAGCCCACCTGTCCCAGAATTTGGAGGCAGCAGCAGCCCCCCAAGGTAGGGTGTGGTTGGGTGGCGGTGTGGTTGGGTGGTGGGGGTAGGGCCGGCTGGAGGGTGTGGCCCCTTCTCTCCATTGATGAGCTCCTGTTTGTGCCATTGTGTCTGGGTTAGAGAAGCGCTGTGATGGGGCCTAGGACAGCTGATGAAGGAATCGGCAGTCTGGAGAGGGTGTGCTGGAAATGGAGATACTGTGCTGTGGCTGCTTTCCATTTCTCACAGGGATTAAGAGTGCTCAGTAAATCATTCCCACCTTTGCTTTTATTTTTTCTTTTAAAAAGTGGCAGTGTCTGTGCCAAAGAGGAGAAGGAAAATGAAGGAGCTAAATAAGAAGGAGACTGTGGGAGACCTCCTAGATGCCTTCAAGGAGGTAAGAGCAGAAAGGAGCAGAGGGGAGAGGGCGGAGTTGGGGCATGGAAAAGTGGTCGTTCTGCAGCTGAACGCGGATGTTGTGTGGTTCCAGGTGAACCCAGCAGTTCCGGAGGTGGAAAACCAGCCTCCTGTGGACAACAGTCCAGGCCCGGAGCCTGAGGGCAGCAGCGTGCCCCCGCGGTCTGAGGAAGCAGACGAGACCTGGGACTCCAAGGAAGATAAAATTCACAATGCTGAGAACATCCAGCCGGGGGAACAGAAGTACGAATATAAGTCAGGTATGGTGGGGAAGGGCTGAGAAGGGTCGAGTGCTCGTACTCGTCAGGGCCCCAGGAGACGAGAGCGTGATTACTGTATCCTCCCTTCTTCGCAGATCAGTGGAAGCCTCTGAACCTCGAGGAGAAGAAGCGCTATGACCGGGAATTCTTGCTTGGTTTCCAGTTTCTCTTCGCCAGCATGCAGAAGCCGGAGGGGCTGCCGCAAATCAGCGACGTGGTGTTGGACAAGGTTGGCGGGCTTGTGGGGAGGGTGAGTTTGGGCTGGATGGTTGGGGAGGAGCCGGAGATTTGGAAGGAGTGGTCAGTGGCCCCAGGCTCCTCCTGACACCCTGTCTGACCTCTTCACAGGCCAATAAAACCCCACTGCGGCCACTGGATCCCACCAGACTCCCGGGCATAAATTGCGGCCCAGACTTCACTCCATCCTTTGCCAACCTCGGCCGACCGGCTCTTAGTGCCCGTGGGCCCCCAAGGGGTGGGCCAGGTGGGGAGCTGCCCCGAGGGCCGGTGAGTGGGCCTGCCTAGAGGGCGGAGGGGCATGGGCTGTGGGGATGGGTGGCTTCCTTCTGTCTCCTTGTTGGGGGCTGGAGGCTAGTCTCTCCCGGAGATGCGATGGTGTCAGGTGTTGTGCTAACTAGTCCTGAGTCTTGTCCCCATTCCTTGCTTATTAGCAGGCTGGCCTGGGACCCCGGCGCTCTCAGCCGGGTCCCCGGAAGGAACCGCGTAAGATCATTGCCACAGTGTTAATGACTGAAGATATAAAACTGAACAAAGCGGAGAAGGCCTGGAAACCCAGCAGCAAGCGAACGGCAGCTGACAAGGACCGAGGGGAAGAGGATGCTGATGGCAGCAAAACCCAGGTACCGGCAGCGTCTGCTCTTGGTGCCCGTTCCTTCTCCGGAAGCCCTGCCAGCTTTGTTTCTGTCCATCCGCACCACCGGCATGCGCCTAGCCCCTAGCACCCTCTCTCGTCCCTCCCCGTGGCCTCCGTTCTGAGAACCTCAGTGGATCCGGGTTTCTTCTCTGTCTCCCTTTTCCCCCAGGACCTGTTCCGCAGGGTGCGCTCCATCCTGAATAAGCTGACGCCCCAGATGTTCCAGCAGCTGATGAAGCAGGTGACGCAGCTGGCCATCGACACCGAGGAACGCCTCAAAGGGGTCATCGACCTCATCTTTGAGAAGGCCATCTCGGAGCCCAACTTCTCCGTGGCCTATGCCAACATGTGCCGCTGCCTCATGGCGGTCAGTTTCCACTGTCCTTGAACCCACTGTTGTTGCCAAGGCTCCCGCGTCTAGCTTCCTGCTTCTCTAGCCTGTGCTGTAGGTGGTGGTTAGGAAGAGGCACAGCTGGGGCCAAAGGTCTTGTGGGTTGGGTAGTTAAAGACCCCTAGACTGGGGGCAGGGTGGCTTCTCTCTTCACTGCGGGAGAACACAGAGCAGAGCCTTTTCCTTTCTAGTCTTCCCAGCAAACAGCCCAGAGCGCTCACAACGCAGTTTGCGCTGGACTGCTAACCTAACCCACCCAGCAGCACTGTAGAGGAAAGGCCTGGTGATCTGCTTCCATAAAGATTACAGTCAGGATAACCTCATGGAGCAGTTTTACTCTGAAACACGGGGTCAGCATGAATCAGAATTGACTCGATGACAGTGGTTTTTTTTTAAAGAGGGCCTTTACTGCTCTGGAGCCCCGGTGGCACAGTGGTTAAGAACTTGGCTGCTCACCAAAAGGTCAGCAGTTGAAATCCACCAGCCGCTCCTTGGAAACCCTACGGGGCAGTTCTCCTCTGTCCTGTAGGGTCGCTGTGAGTCGGAGTTGACTTGATGGTAGTGGGTTTGGGTTTTTTTTCCAATTGCTCGGGTCTAGTCTGAGTATGGTATGGCGTTCTCTCTGACCTGCAGCTGAAAGTGCCCACTACAGAAAAGCCAACAATGACTGTGAACTTCCGAAAACTCTTGCTGAATCGATGTCAGAAGGAGTTTGAGAAAGACAAAGATGATGATGAAGTTTTTGAGAAGAAGCAAAAAGAAATGGATGAAGCTGCCACGGTGCGGAGACCACCACCCACTCCCCCACGTGCCCCTCCTCCACCCAGACGTCCTGAGGCTGCTCAGCTGTAGGATTTGGGGTGGGATGAGTGGGGTATTATTGGCGTCTGGGGGGCATGTTTCTCTGTGGGAGTGCTATGGGGAAGAGGAGGGTTATGGTGGAGTGGCTGAGGACCTCCTTGACGTGATCTGTGTTCTGTGATCTGTGACTGGCAGCCAGAGGAACGAGGGCGCCTGAAGGAAGAGCTGGAAGAAGCTCGAGACATAGCCCGGCGGCGCTCTCTTGGGAATATCAAGTTTATTGGGGAGTTGTTTAAGCTGAAGATGTTAACTGAGGCGATAATGCATGACTGCGTGGTCAAACTACTTAAGAACCATGACGAAGAGTCCCTTGAATGCCTTTGCCGTCTCCTAACCACCATTGGCAAAGACCTGGACTTCGAGAAAGCCAAGGTCGGGCACGTGGGGTGTTGGAGGACGGGTCGGAGTGTTGTGGGGCCCCGTCCGCTGCCAGTCTTCTCGTTGGGCCTGGGTCCCCGTCCGCTGCCAGTCTCCTTGTTGGGCTGTTGGGCCTGGGTCCCCGTCTGCTGCCAGTCTCCTTGTTGGTCCATTGGGCCTGGGTCCCCCATCCACTGCGAGTCTCCTTGTTGGGCCTGGGCCCCCCGTCCAATGCCAGTCTCCTTGTTGGGCCTGGGCCCCCCATCCAATGCCAGTCTTCTCGTTGGGCCTGGGCCCCCCATCCAGTGCCAGTCGTCTCGTTGGGCCTGGGCCCCGTCCGCTGCCAGTCTCCTCATTGGGCCCGGGCCCCCGTCTGCTGCCAGTCTCCTTGTTGGGCCTGGGCCCCGGTCCACTGCCACTCTCCTTGTTGGGCTGGGCCCTCGAGTCACAGAGATGGAGCTGAGGGCCTGCGGTTGGATTTTGGGTACTAAAGGCTCAGTTTGCTTCTCTCTAGCCGCGAATGGATCAGTATTTCAACCAGATGGAAAAAATCATCAAAGAGAAGAAAACGTCGTCCCGCATCCGCTTCATGCTGCAGGACGTGCTGGATCTGCGACGGGTACGTGTCCCTGTCCCGCTCCTTGTCAGCTGTTGCCCATTCCCAGTACCCCCATGGCTGTGAGGTAAGTATCTCAATATCTTGAGATAATCGCCCTGCGACTGGCTTGTCCCCACAGAGCAACTGGGTGCCACGCCGAGGGGACCAGGGTCCCAAGACCATTGACCAGATCCACAAGGAGGCTGAGATGGAGGAACACCGGGAGCACATCAAAGTGCAGCAGCTGATGGCCAAGGGCAGTGATAAGCGCCGGGGCGGCCCCCCAGGCCCACCCATCAGTGAGTTCCAGGCTGGGCTTGAGAGGGGGTGAGGAACAGGTGCTTTCCACTGATGACTTCCTGTTAGTGCCACGTGTCTGGGCCACTGAGACCCCATGATGGAACTGAGGATCTGAGGAAGGGATGGTGTTAGTGGCTCAAGGGGAAGGGGCTGGCACTTCCCCATTATCCCAGTACGGTCTCCTTTTTGTCCCAGGCCGTGGTCTTCCACTTGTGGATGATGGTGGCTGGAACACAGTCCCTATCAGCAAGGGCAGCCGGCCCATCGACACCTCACGACTCACCAAGATCACAAAGGTAGGGTGGTGTGTGTGCCGGAGGTGGTGGTTGTGGAGGAGAGGGTCAGGGGGGTTCAGACGGCATTGCACGCACAGCTGCATATTGCTCCCGCCTTTTCTGAGGTGGGAAGGTGGCAGCTGAGTTGCTCCTCTCAGACTAGTCGTGTTGCCAGAGACTGGGCTGCCATGCTGCCCAACCCCAGGCTGCGTTCACATCAGCCTCGGCCAGGGCCGGCAGGCCGGCACGCACGTTGCACGCCGCTTCCCCTGTCGCCTGCCTCTGAGCGTCCCACGAACCGAGAACACTTCTTACGTTTTTAAATGGTTGGAGAAAGAGAAAAGAGGATGTTCTGTGATGTGAAAATTTCAGTATCTATAAGTAAAATTTTACTGGAACACAGCAAGCCCGTTTCTGTATGTATTACCTGCGGCTGCCTTCACACTGTAACTGCAGAGTTGAGTGGTTGCAAACATAGCTCTGGTCTGCAAAGCCTAGAATGTCTGCGCTCTGGCTCTTCATAGGAAATGTTTGTCCATCTCTGGGCGAAGCCATTTATAGCCTGTGTGGCTGTACGTGGTGGTGCTGGCTGGGGGCTTGGGCCAGGTCCTCTCCATGACTTGACTTTCTCTCCTCTCAGCCTGGCTCCATTGATTCTAACAACCAGCTCTTTGCACCCGGAGGGCGGCTGAGTTGGGGCAAGGGCAGCAGTGGAGGCTCAGGAGCCAAGCCCTCAGATGCAGGTATGGAGGCTACTGTGATGAGCGGGGTGGTTATTCACGTGAGTGCTCTGGAGGGCTGAGCCTTGTCTACAGGGGAGCTTTTAATACAGCGTGGTTAGGTGGTGCTGGAGGCCTGCACTTGGACTAGGGGCTGAGCTGCTTTGTAGTTGGGGCTGGGACCAAGTGTCCTAAACCATGAAGTAAGAGAGAGCATGCGAAAAGGTAGAAAGAGTTTAATCTAGTCTTTCTGTCTCTCCAGCATCAGAAGCTGCTCGTCCAGCTACTAGTACCTTGAATCGATTCTCAGCCCTTCAGCAAGCAGTCCCCACAGAAAGCACAGATAACAGACGCGTGGTGCAGAGGTGAGGTTTCGTCCGTGTCTTTGTTTTTCCACCAAGAGTACTGTGGCTGGATCCTGGTTGTTTCCACGGGAATTCCTTACAGCTTAATGCTTGGGGCCCCTGACTGAGGTTAGGGGCATGTCCTGCTGCCAAGGACAGGCTCTAGCAGCTATTCAGCTGTTCGGTGATTAGATGAGAGATCGCCTGGGGGTGCAGGTGGGGGACAACGAGCCTGTCTGTCTTCCAGGAGTAGCTTGAGCCGGGAACGAGGTGAGAAAGCTGGGGATCGGGGAGATCGCCTGGAGCGGAGTGAACGAGGTGACCGTGGGGACCGGCTCGATCGTGCACGGACCCCTGCCACCAAGCGGAGCTTCAGCAAAGAAGTGGAGGAGCGGAGTAGAGAGCGGCCCAGCCAGCCCGAGGGGCTGCGCAAGGCGGCTAGCCTGACAGAGGACCGGGACCGCGGGCGGGATGCCGGTGAGGCCCCGGGAGAGGAATGGAGATGGGTGTTGGCTAGTTTGGGACTGACTGGTCCCCGGACAGTGCCACGGGTGCTCTGAGCTCTGTTTGCCGGGAAGACTAGATGTTCCACCTCTGCTCCATGTTCTCCCGCAGCGAAGCGAGAAGCCACCATGCCCCCAGCCAGCCCCCCAAAGGCGGCGCTGTCTGAGGAGGAATTGGAGAAGAAGTCCAAGGCCATCATCGAGGAGTATCTCCACCTCAACGACATGAAGGTAGGCAGGGTAGGGGTGTGAATGACGAGGAGGGGGCTGGCACCGTGGGCCCTGGGGTCTGGGCCAGGCTGACGGCGCTCTCCCTCGTGTGCCTGCCCCACAGGAGGCCGTCCAGTGCGTGCAAGAGCTGGCCTCCCCATCCCTACTCTTCATCTTCGTGCGGCACGGCATCGAGGCCACGCTGGAGCGCAGCGCCATAGCTCGGGAGCGCGTGGGGCAGCTGTTGCACCAGCTGCTGTGTGCCGGGCGCCTCCCCACCACTCAGTACTACCGAGGGTAGGCCTGCTGCCGCGGCTCGCGCCCTCGCCCGCCCACCAGTGCCCCTGCTTTGCGGAACCCCTTGAGCCTTGGGGGAGAGCGTAGACGCCTCAGTGGGTCCTGGTGGGGGTGTGACACGCTTGAGGACAAGAGGTGGTCTTAACTTGAGACGGTCGCCCGTGTCGAGAAGATGTTTCTGTGGCACTCCACACTCGATCCTTCAGTGTGGTGGGTTACCTGGGTGGGCGGCGGCCCAGCTCGTCTTCCCCGGCGTAGCTTGACTGAACTTCCGTTGCAGGCTCTGTGAAATCCTGGAACTGGCTGAGGACATGGAAATCGACATCCCCCATGTGTGGCTCTACCTGGCGGAACTGGTGACGCCCATTCTGCAGGAAGGTGGGGTGCCCATCGGGGAGCTGTTCAGGTAAGCCCCCCTTGTGGAATTCAGGGTAGGTAAAGACGAGAGAAGGAGCCCTGGGGGCACGGTGGTTTAGCGCTCGGCTGCTAACCGAAAGGTTGGCGGTTCAAACACACCAGCCGCTGTGCGGGACAAAGATGTGGGAGTCTGCTTCCATAAAGATTACAGCCTTGGGAGCCCAGTGGGGCAGTTCTGCTCTGTCTTTAGGGTCGTTATGAGTTGGAATCGACAACAACGGGTTTGGTTTTAAAGATAGGAGGAACGGGAGATGGTGGGGAGGCGTGGAGGATCGGATGTCTGGGTCTGAGCAGGGATGGGGTAGTGTTGAGAGGGCTTGTGGACACTTTTGTTTTCTGGTAGGGAGATCACAAAGCCACTGAGACCCCTGGGCAAAGCTGCTTATCTGTTGGTGGAGATCCTGCGGCTCCTGTGCAAAAGCTTGGTGAGTGAGGCCTCTTGGAGGGTGATGTCGTCAGCGTTCTTCGAACAGACACCGTGAGAGCTGGCCTGCTGGCGGCGGTCCTTGTTTGGGCGGGGGTAAGGGTGACGGTAGTGCCATGTTGGTACCTGGGAGGGGAGATGTCGAAGCTGGCAGTCTCCTCGGACGGCTTCCTGTCTTGAGTTCTGGCCAAGGCTGGAAGGGAATCAGAGCCTCTGACCCATGATTAATCCATTCACTGAGCATGCCTTTTTTGAACATTTATTGTACATTTATAGATTAGGCATTGGGGATACAGCAGTGAATAAAATGGGGTAGTAGTTGGCAGAAAAAACAATAAGAAATGACAGCCTAATAAAAACAACAGTGTGAAGTAAAGTAGTCGGACCGGTGTCTGAGTACTGTGCGACGGGAGATGTGCGTCCGTTTGGTGAGGTTGCAGACTAGGCTCCTGGAAGGGCCTGAAGCTTCTTTGTGAGAGTTGGTGGCGACTGGCGAGTGTAAAGCCACAAAAAGTGGCAGGAGGCAAGTTGGGTGAGGGGCTTAGTGGTGAGAAGTCGGAACATGTGGCTTCAAAGAGCTCAGCTCTCTGGAGCTGGAGGGACGAGACTTCCGGTTAAAAGGAGTTGTTCTTTCCGCATCAGATTTTGTTTTTTTAACGTTTTAGATAGAAATATGTACTGGTACGATGTCCGATTGCAAGAAAGCATTTGTTGGAACTGCTTGGGTGTCTCATGGGAATATAAGGTGCCAGAGATTGCAGAGCGTGTTTATGCGTTACTAAGAAGGAGAAGACTTAGAGTCGTACTTTAAACATGTAGTGTTAAAATCAACCCTAAGACAAATCAGTTTTAGCAGTGCTAATGGTGTGAAGAACTGGGCGTCTTTAAAATCCATGAGCTACAGTCATCTTTGGTTGTTAAGGGCTGAGGTCGTTATTCCCGACATCTGTTTGTATGAGAGAGTTAGTTGAGTAACTAGTTGGCAGAGAATAAAATAAGAAATGACAGCTTAAAAACAGTGTGAAGTAAAGTGTGAGATAAAATGGATGCAGCAGTGGGGTGTCAGCACTGTGAGGCTGCAGGGTGTCCGTTTGGTGACGGTGAAGCTGTTTTGTGAAAGTTAAGGGTGACTGACAAGTGTGAAGGCATCAGGCCTCTTGCCCCTTAGAGAAAATGGGCTCTAATGGCTGTTCGTGTGAGGATTTGTCATCTGCTTCTAAAATTTTCAGAACTTAGGAACCAGATGAGCGTACTTGCTAGCAATGATCTTCTTCTATAAGCATTTATTTGGAGTAATGAAGAATCAATCTGTTTTAGGGGGAAAAAATGTAGGTGAGAGTAGAAGGTTAGAATGAGGTATTTGGATTTGGTCGTTGACGTTTGGAGTTCCAGTATTCTTAGGGAATACTGTGAGAGCTAGCTGACATCTTTCTGAGAGGCTTTTAGGACCTAGAGGTCATCTTCCCGCCCTCGTCTTACAGCAGGGTCCCTGGGTAGTGCAGAGGTTATCTACTCTCGACAGCTAGCCAAAAGGTTGGCAGTTCGAGTCCGCTCAACAGTTGTTGAAAACCCTGTGGAGCACGGTTCAGCTCCGACACACGTAGGGTGATTACCCTGAGTCAGAAAGTAGGGGTAACTGGTACTCATAGTCTGCTAGCACCGTGGTGGGTGAATTCTTATTTATGTGGGTGCTTATTTGGCTGACGTTGGGGCCCTGCCCTGTAGGCATGGAGGGACAGGAGGACAGTGCTTGTCTGGTATCTCTGTGGCATCTTTGGAGCCCTGGTGGCACAGTGGTTAACAGCTCAGTTGCTAACCAAAAGGTTGGCAATTTCGAATTCACCAGCTGCTCTTTGGAAACCCTATGGGGCAGTTCTGCTCTGTCCTATAGGGTCTCTGTGAGTTGGAATCGACACGATGGCAGTGGGTT